ATAAAACGCGTAGATTTTTAATGAGGTGGCCGACTCGGTGGTGTGGCCGACTCGGTGGGGAAATACGTTAACTAGTTGTTAACTAACTAACTACTTGGTGTGCATAACCAATCATTTCCTCTGCATTTCTGCCGGCATAAGTCAGGACATGGAGTCTCTACGAAGAACCTGGCAGATGAATTGACAAGATAAAACTGTGTTCAGATATAGTATACGTCACGGAAAAATCAATCAACGATCCATAAAATGCATATCAAATTATAATTTCACAACCAAGAGAGAGAGAGAGAAAAAGGAAATGTTCAATAAACCGGTCTTCTGCGACGAATCCCAGCGCCAGCCCATGGTCACAGACCAGTTCAAGAGGCGATATGCGACAGCAATGCTCCAGTAACGAAGTTAGTCCCCATGAGACCATTGAAATGAATAGAAATTCTCGTAGAAAACGATGCTGGCTTCAATTTTGTAGGTTTAAGATCGCACTTGCGTCCCGCTTTGGAATTTTTTTTTTTTTTTTTTTTTTTTCTCTTTTCGTTTCTGGTTTTGCCATTCATACTAGTGGTCAAGAGAACAGGAGTGGAAACATTGTCACGATATTAGATAAGAAAGCAACGAAGAAACGAAGAATCCGGGTACACATTCTATAGTTGTGGGAATAACTTCAGCCAGAAGCAAGCATCGAACACAGAAGATACTGCCCAGTAAAAAAAGATGCCCGGACTCCAGAAATTTTTGAAACCTCCCATGACTAGAACAGTAAGGAAAAAAGAAGAGGAAGAAAAAAGCATATTGGAGAAAAAGCTGGGCAGAATCAAAAGACATAAGCCGAGACGTCGAATGTGCATAGATGAAATTACCTCCATAGAAGCTTGTCGTCGGCAAATGATAAAACATAAAAGCTGACAAGAGAACGATGCAGGTCATGATGGATGAAACGAAACAAAAAAGGCAGAAAAAAAGAAAAAGGTAAATGATTCATCGAAGAAATGGAAAACAAAATCACTTTTTCAGCTCGGCTCAGCCAGAAAACAGTCAGGTTCTTTTTGCGATGTCTGGAGTCACGAAACTTTGCCGGCATAGTCGGAACGTAAGGCTTGTGGTGTCTTATCGTCCAATTTGGCCGTAGTCAGTCGCGGTAAAACAGATGAGTTTTGATCCCATCGAGAATGACTCCGGTGCTCAACAAAAAGAGTAAAAACTGTAAAGGCGATTCGGCAAAGCCATGTGCTGACGTTTCGTGCAAGATCATCAAACGCTAGACTCTTAAATTCATTGTACATTTGTGCATTGAAATTTTTGGACCAAGAAGTGCGACCAGAAATGGTACAGAACATCCATGTCACGGGTCACCGTCTCGGGTTGCCGTAAAAACTTTGTTCGTCAAGAACTCGTCTCGGAAAGCACTGCAAGGGTTCGTAAGAAGAAACTGGAAAGACAAAAACCATAGAGGAGTAGCCTTCTTCGCGCAGGATGTCGGTATGTAGGCTCCGCTGGTTATGGGTGTATATAGACCGCAGGGCCATGGACCTCGAATCCGACAAAAGTCACGTCTCGACTGATGACAAGTTAGTAAATATTAAGTATATTATAGAAAGGGAACAGGACATACCAAGAGATCAACATCCCGGAAGGAGAAGAGGAGGAGTGTTTGGGATAATTTAATCCGCCCGCTGTCGTCAAGTCAGTCAAAACAGTTCCTGTAGAAAGTGATACCGAGACACGGAATTTTCGGAACTTACGATTTCATTAACTGGCTTCGAAGGAGAAAACTCCGGCGCATCAGTAGACAACGAAGTCTTGGGGACGGCAGTACCGTTAGACAGAGGCTGCTGAGAAGCAGTACCATTTACTGCGCCTTCAACGTTGTTCTGGGGTGCGGCGTTCTCATCGGTCTTGCTGGGCTTCGCCGGAGCAGTACCACTCTTCTGCGCGGAAGGATCACGCTTTTCCAAAGGCAGGACCCACTGCTCCCATTCTCTCGGTCGCAGACGGTCAAGGCCATCCTCGCCGGTGATGTATTCCACGTTTCTCAATTGGCGGGATACATGACGGAGGAACTCGAAATCTTCGGTCAAGGACTTGATTCGCTTGAAGCTAGCGATGAACGCCAATTCCACGAAGCCCTGCGAGTCCATGTGCTTGCGAAGGAAGAGGTCCTTGCACAGGTTGTCCACGGAGAAGTAGTACTCAAGCTGCATGGAGACCATGCTCATCAGAGAGAAAGGTTCCATATATTGCTGATAGGGGACTGCCGTCATGGGGCCGGCGTGCATGGGCTGGTAACCATACATCGTGTTGATGTCCGCGGGGTACTGGTAGACACCGTACATAGTGGCAGAGTTGGGCAACGAAGGCGACCTCAGGGACATCCTGTGACCTTGGGAGCCATTGGGGACACCGTTGTGCGATCGCTGACGATCGTTGAAGCCGAAGGACTTCTGGTGCATGAAGGAGTTGTGCGACATGTGGTTGTTGGCGAAGTGAGAATTCTGGGAGCCACCGAAGCCACCGCGGCCCCGGGAGCCACGGCCTCGGTCAGCGCGCGACTCGCGAGAGAACTCCTTGTCCTTGCGGTCACCTTGGAATCCAGAGAAATCAGCCGACTTGGGACCATTCTCGAACCGGCGGTCGTTGGACGAACCCGAGCGGGGACCGGCCTGTGCATCCACGGAGAGGTTCGAGTTTCTGGCGCCATGGTCTCCGCCCTTGTGGGCCGCATCGTGGTTTCTGAAGGCCTTCGCATCGCGGTGGTGTCGGGGGAAAGTCTCGCCTCCGTTGGCATGTCGCCCAGCAGGGGCGGCGTTCGCGTTCTCAGCACCCTTAGATCCACGGCTTCGGTCCGTCGTCTGGGCTTTACGCTGGTCGGCAGATCCAGCATCGGCACTGTTCGATCGCCTCGAAGGCGCGGGGAGGGAGTTGGCGCGAGCGGAGTTGGCTTCGTTCCTTCCTCGGTCTGCGGGCGAGGCCTTGGCAGAGCCTTGGGCCGCCTGTCCAGAGGCAGCCTTATCGGCGGCGGCAGCGTGAGCGCCGTTGCGGCCGCCCTCCCGTCCACCACGGGCAGTACGTCCGCCTCGACGACCGCTAGAGGGAAGAGGGGTGTTGAAAACGGCAGTAGGGACATAGGGCACGGGCATCCATTTCTCCTTACCATGAGGTCGAATCACGGGGCTCTTCTCGGATTTGTCGCCCTTCTCCTGGGCCTTCTTCTTCTCCTCGCCTTGGGCGACTTGCGGCGTGGGCCACAGGGCAGCATCCTCAACGGGAGGGACGTTTGCGTTCTCATCGCGGCCCATTCTCTTGCGGTTGTTACCCTCGGAGGCGGCATCGGCTCCCTTCTTCTTGGGGGCAGCCTTAGGCTGTTCCTGCTGGTTATCACCCGATATCGAGGAGGCTGCCGAAGCAGTCTTCGCGTTGCCGTTCTTGGGCGCAGGCTTTAGCGTCTGCACGGTCTTGGCTTTGGCTTCTTGCGCCTCCTTTCGCTTCTGCCACACGTTCACCGCGGGAAGAGGGGCGGCCTTCAGCTCCTTAGGGGGTTCCTCCTTTTCGTCCTCAGCGGACTTTTCCTTGGGATTTTCGTCTCCACTCTGCGGCTTCTCAGATCCCGAGGCCTGTGATTGTTTATCCCAGGTAGATTCCGAGGTACCATTCGGCGTATTTGAGCCTTCGTCTTTCGCTTCCGTAGAAGTCGAGTTGCCGGCACTGGGGGACGTCGTGCCCGACGCGGAGGCCTTGGTTGCGGGAGCCGTAGTCTCCGATTCCTTCACCGAGTTGACGGGAGTGTTCTCTGCCTCCTGAGGTGCCTCCGACTGCGAGGTCAGGGCGTTTTCAGCTTGCGAAGTAGAGTTCGAGTCCTGCTCATCGGGCTTCGAGACATTATTCGGCTCTGACGTCGTCTTTGCTGATGGTACCGAGGGAGCAACGCCCTTAGCGGCTTGAGCATAGGAAAATGTAGCAGCCATTTTCGTTGTGGAAATAGAAAAGTCTAATATATCCGTTCTAGAAATGAAAAAAGGTGTGAAAAATCAAGTTGTTCTTCCAGAGAACAGGTGCCTCCGTTGGCAACTCCAATCAAATAAATCTGCGAGCGCCAACTGTGGGCGAGAGAGCTCCAGCACTTGACGGCAAACAGAGGATCCGACTTCCGTCCTCTTGCGACCCCACCAAGCTGCAGATTCCCGTCACTGGACGTGGCTCCTACTTCGGTGCAGGTTATGGAAGATGGCCGATTTAACGGTTGGCGAAAGTCACGAAAGCTTTATTGGCTGTCGAAGGAAAACGGTGTATGATTCGAGATCGTATCCGGGTATTTTCTTTTGCAATGTTTTTCTACCACACGAATCGCATAAAATTCGCTCGGCGATAGAAAAAGAAGATTTCTTCCCTGGTATCGTTTCGTCCGAAAGTCGGGATGAATGAAAATGGTTGAATACGGTGTAGGAATTGGCGTCGGTGACTTCGGCACGATAGTCAAAAGAGACACTGGCTTCGAGACAAGATTGGATTAATACACGCGAGATCGAGACATCAACAGAGCTTTTCGTGAAGATCCACTGAGCGTTGCGTAGACCCAGCACAGAACTCACCCAATTTATGCCGTTCGAGATTCGGACCGTCGGAAGATTCGCGAGGACTTTCCGATATGCCGCTTAGGTAGTCGAACGGTGAAACAAATCACGACCACGAGTACAAGTTTTTAATCTTTCGAGAGGACCCCGTTGGCGTAGCCCCTTGTGAAGCGTAGGCGAAAAGGCGCGACTTGCACGTGGTGATAACCGCAACGGAATAACGACGAGATGGGATTTCGGATTTCCCAGCGAATTGAGGGGAAAGAAAAATTGACAGGATAAAGATCCAGGCGAAAGCGACGATGAGCAATCAAAAAAAAAAAAATATCAAAGCAGATCTCGTGCGGAGAAAGTAAAAAATCAGAAAGGGATCAACCGATCAAGATGCCCTTGCCAGCAGAAAAAAGTCCCGCGAACAAAAAAAAAAAATAGTGGACGTGGGAGAAGATCGGAAGGCGGAAGGAAGATGTGCACTGAAGAATGAGAGCACAACCTCACTGCGGCAACACGGACGCCAGCAACGGAACCACGGGGCGTTGGCGAAGTTGAAGAAAGGTGGAAGGAAGGAAACTTCCAGGATGTTGAGGGGAGAGAGAGAAAGAGGGGGTAGAAGGAGGGGGGTAAGAAACAAGAGGGAGGAAAGGGTAGGAAGAGAAAGCGAGGGAAAAAGAGACGAGCGTAGCGCAGTGTGTGAGAGAGACTGGAGAAGTCCGAAGGGCAGCGCAGGGGAAAAAAAAAAAAAATTAAAAAAAATTCAGAACAAAAAAAAAGAATAATAAAAACAGTAATAAATTTGGAGGGACGTGGAAGAAAATCCGAAGGAAGCAAATGAGAACAGAAACAGTAATAATAATTGTGGACTGCCAGAAAAAAAAATTAAAAAATTAAAAAATTAAAAGGAAAACCGAATAAAATGATTAAGTTACGCCTGTAAATGCGGCGTTTTTCCCTTTCCTCCCAGAATGTAAAGAGGTTTCTACGGTTCCTCCCATCCACCCTGCCCAAATCAACCATAATATAATATATAATCAATTCAATGTGCCTTTCGATGATACTAGAATTCATCCTTGCTTCGTCCGTCGTCTCTCGAACGCATCCCAAAAAGACGGTCCGCCGAAGAAGTCCTGGATTTTAGTGGACTTCAGGGCTTCTGTGGGTATGAACCGCCCATCTCCCTTCCTGTCTGGGACTAATTCCGATCGTGAATTTGGTTCGACTCGCGCATTATCATTTATTGCAGACCATTCTCAATTCCAATCCATCGCTCGAGACGGATCTACGGATGTGCCTTTCTACCCAGTCAGACCGACCTCGTACCTGAGTCCGAGAGATGTACACGCGGTATTTCTATATATAACCCATCGACTCGAATTCCAGACCTGCCACAGAGACAGTGTGGTATGTGCTTAACCATGTTGGGGGCGGGTCCAATGCTCTTTCTGATTCATGATCATATCGACTGCTCCTACGAGGTAGAGGTATCGTATATGTCCCTCTCATTATGACCTAGGTACATAGGCTGGAGAACCTTGTCCTCGGGTGTCCTCTCTCTACCGACGTTCCGCAGTCACCCATTCGCCCATGGATCTCGGACGACCCCTCTTCCTATCGGCCTCCCCTTCAGCCATTGTTCAACCATCATTGCCATGGGCCAGGGCAATTGGAGGACCGGCAGAAAATCCGCCGACTCCGAGTCAAGACCGAGATCAGAGACACCTCTTTTGCTACCCAGTCTGCACTCGGACTCTTGCAGAGCTGTCCAGGCCCTACATACTCTGTACGCACGTATACTGGAAACGATCCTCCTGGTTTCGGCTACCTAATATACTCTACTCTAGGCTTATTACAGTGATCGAGATAATTGTCCTGTCATCAGCAGAATTGCCATCAATCGAGCCGCAAGGCAACCAGATGGAGGGGCTTGGAGGGGTTGTGCCGTGAACCCCTCTAAGCCTGTAACTATACAGATTTGGAATAAAGCAGTCCGGTGGTGCTGGCCCAGGTGTGACCTTCCGAGCAAATTAACCATAACAGATTAACAGTAGCGCCCATCCTACTCCCATGTGGCATTGCAACCCCGGATCTAAACGTCAGAAATATGGCATTCTGTCCGTTTGTTTATAATGGCTTTTAGTGTAGGTGTGGTATTATTAAATACCACAAGTCCGTGGAGTAACTAGGTAATATACAGTACTCTAGGTAGGTTCATCTCATCAACATGATTCAACCACGGGAAAACAAAGAGAGTTCCCCCAATTAAATATCAGCCCGTTCAAGACAACGTTATGTTTGATGAAGATTATCCAGATCATCCTGAATATCTAAATTACCTCATTAAGGACGGATACCTTGGTGTACTTCGGTGGTGGGCCCACCTGTCAGAGACTCTTACAGACATAATTTCCCAAGTAATTCCTTCTTAGTTTATTTTACATCACCATACAGGGCATTAAATATTCCATGGTTTCAAACCTCATTCCCTGTTAATGTCCAGATTAATCTGCCGCTCTCCGTGGGTGCTCCGAGGCCCGAGACCTAAGACAAGCATCAGGGTACTTCCCGCGTAGCCCCCGGATAGCAGCAGCGGCCGTAGTCTACCGTGGGCTGCGTACGCCCAGGTAAGGGATTCGTGTTTCTCTCCGGCTACCCAGGACTACGGGGAATGCCTTTCCCTGCATGATGTTTCGTCCATCGTTCTACGGTGTACGGAGTAGGAGTATACTGTAAGTGTTCTAGTCTCTAGAGTGCCAGGGGGCCAGGATCTTGCGTCCATTACTTACCCCTCTCATCTTGTGTCTACCTATAGATTTCATTCCTTCGCCCTCTTTTTTCTTTTTCCTCCCCTGACTAGTAATGTAGGTCTGTATGTACATTATGTATGTGCTTGCTTCCATCAGATCTGACAGGTTCATCTTCTTAGGATATATCGTTATTGTGTAAATGTGATAATCGAGGTAGATTCTCAAGTAAAAAATAAAATAAGATAAAAAGGACGGTACCTGTTCTATACGTACCTGTAAAACTCGAGAATTCACGTGCCTTCACCTCTTCCCGTCCGTCCGTCAGACTCGCAACTCAAACTGAGACCTTCTCGGCCTCTCCCCTGTCTTGTCTTTGTCCGGGGGGGACTCCAAAAATGTCTTTGCATTGGACAAAAAACGTAATAATCAAGACATCCCATGATTCGGGTAATTACAATACCCCATCCATACACATGTCTCCACCTCTTATCCAACATTGAGAAACATGGGATCAGCATAAATTTCTTCATGAATAAAACCGTTCACCCGAGATCTGAAGATTGATTTACTTCGTCCCCGGAGTTGGCATAACCTTATGCTCTACCGGCCACCATCGGGATCTAATGTTGAACTTAGGGCTGCCTGTGGCTAGATACTGCAATTGTACATATAGTTAGTTATGCACTGAACAGTATCTTGCCTACCTATTAAGGTAGATACAATACATCATGCATTAATTACATCTTTGATACATGTGACATGTGACATATAAATTACTTTTTCTACCCAGGTACCTATTCTTTCCTCCCTTCCGGTGCATGCCGTGCCATTTTTATCCACATCCACTTCTGTAGACCTCCGGAGTAGGAGAAAGACTAGAGTACCGGCATCCACGACCTAAAGACCTTAACCCAAACAATCTAGATACATGGATGAATATAAGTACCTTAGTCGAAATCAAAATGCCTATGTCATAGTTGCTCAGACCGACCAATCAAGCCACTTCATCCACCGTTCAAGAGAATGGAACACTAGTACATACATAGATACGTATGAGGTAAGCTTGCGGGAATAAAAACAGACAATATGGGATTTCGTACTCTGTAAACTAATTACTCCAGTATTAGGATTAGATTTTAACTAACTAGATGGTATGAACCATCGCTTAGCAGCCCGCGTGGGTGACGGCCATTAGGGCTGAGGCTTTTCCTCTTTTCTTTTCTTTTTTGTTCCGCTTCTCGGAACTCGGGATTCTTCGGAGGTTGTGGTATTTCGGTGTCACGTGTCCAGTTGCCTTCCATGTACTTTGTATGGTTGGGACAGATTCACGAGGGTAAGTTCTTTCTTTTCCCCCCGAGGAGTCTCTATATACGAACTGGTTCTTTGGTTTCTCGGGTTGCGATCGACAATTGATCCCTCACCCCAACCATCACTACCAATGTCGCACACTAACCAAGACCTGTTCGGCCGGGTCGAGCTCCAGAGATGATTGCGAACTGGTCACGGATCCCAGTCGCGCGAGCACTTGCCAAACAAGTTTCCGCTTGAGGTTCTCCCGCACAGGGATCTTTTCGACGGCGTCGTATCCGTTGAAGTATTTGATGTAGATGGGCCAGTACTCTTTCATGGAATTTCGAAGACCCGCGTATTCCAGATCGCCCTCGCCGGCATCCCCGGGTCGTCCGGCGCGACCACGCAGGAAGAACCGTGGATGGTCGGGGAACCGCGCCACGATCTCGTCGAGCCATCGCGACTCCAGTGGCGAGGCCCGATGCGGGAATAGGATCAAGGACGACGTCTTCAGGGACGTGTGTCGGTCCAGCATCGAGTAGGTCAGGCGCATCCCGCCGTCCGGTTTGTACTGTCCCGGCATCGGGGTCTCTTCGCCGCTGCCCTGGCTCGCGAGGGATGAGGAGGACGAGGAGCTGGTATCGTCGAAGTCGTCGTCCGCATCGTAAGACTCGCTGTGCTTTTCGGGCTCCGGGGCACGCTTCCGCAGGTACCTGTCGACTTCTTCGCGTCGTAGGGCCATCTCCACGGCCAGTTTGATCTCCGGGGTCACCTTGACTCTGGAGAAGGAGCGGAGCTGGGTCACCCACCCTCCTCTTAACAGCCATGCGAGTATAGCAAAGTAGGTCTCTTTGTGGTCTTTGCTGGGGATAAAGCTTCCGTAAGGCCGGGGGGTCCCGCTCAATGCGGACAGCATCTTTGGAAGACTCGGAAGCGTGGGAAACGCCGTTTGATACGCGATCGTCGCCACTTCCAGCTTGCTCAGGTCGCAGTTCGGAGAGACAATGAAGGTATCCCGTTGGTGAAGTGGCGGGATCGCACGGGCCCGTCTCCAGTATATCAGATGACTTGCCAAAAGCTGTATGGTTGAGAGGGAGATCCCCGACGATGCTGATATCTGAGCAAAAGACTTGGTCGGCTTTGAGCAGCGAATATAGTGAGCTAGCGCGGGAGCCAATGCACCTCCAGATGACTCGACATCCTTCAGGATGCTGGTCTCGTTGTCAAGTAACAGGAGCGCAAAGTGTTTGGCCGGGACTTGGTGCGGCGCGGTATTCTCATCAGCGGTTGGGTCATCTACCGGAGTGACACTGTCAGCCGTCGTGAGCCAGAGACCAGGGTATGCCTTGTCGGTTGGGCCCGGAAGATACGGCGTCGAGGTCAAGGGAGGAATCTGAAGGGAGATAGACACGTCCGGACTCAGGGCCACGGACGCAATCTTCGACGCCGAGATACTAGAATAGACGGTATAGATGGCTCTAGCCAAGGAAGATTGGTTGATGAGCTCCGAATAGAGAGTAGTCGCAGACATTCCTGTAGCCCGTAGTCAGCATGCACAGCTTTCCAGCATCCAATCTCGCAAGAAACCATCCATCACATACTCTTCTCTTTCGCCTTCTCCTTGATATGTGATATATGCTGGGCCTCCCTCCAGACATAGTCCGTCCGCGCCTGTTCCCATTTCAAGGCCTTTGCGAACTTCTTAATGATATTGTCGTAGATCTCCCGAATGCGCATCGAATACTCGAGCAAGGGCGGATCCAGCACGAAGACGACATTGAACATAGTCATGGAGTCCTTATCATCCGCGTCTTCACTCGCCGTCCGTCCTCCCCCGGTCTTACTACTCGCCATCGACGCCATCGACGCGCGGTGCGATTCCGCCGCCGCCCATAGACTCGGGCTCAGCGTCTCCGTCGACGCGGCCATCGTCAAATCCGGATTGTCATCCTGCACGTCCTCGACATTCTCGTTGTGACCGAGCTCCCCGCCCTCCCAGTCCGCGCGCGGTTTCTTCTTCTCCTTCTTCCGCCGCTGCTTGCGCCAGGTGCCTTCTTCACGCACAAACACCGGCCACCCGACGAAGGCGAGATCGTTGATACCGACCTCGAACCGTCGCTTATGCCACGATCGCGAGGGACTCAGCACTTTTTCCCACACGTCCGCCGGAAGCCCAAGCATTGACTCCCACGGCGCGCGATACGGTCCGCCCTCGCCTCCTCCCGCGCCATCCTCTTGCCGATCCGACGCCGCGCCCGGGTCGTCTTCCACGTCCGAGGCTGCGCCACCGCGTTTTCGCAACAGCGTGCGCCCCGAGCTGATGGACCCCGGTCGCTGAGAGTCACCCCCAGGTGACACGGACATGGCCACATGATCGTCGAGGCCAAAGTTACTCGACCGTCGACCGGCGGTGGTCGCGGACACCGCGCTGCCGGCTAGGTGCGTGGAGCTGGGGTTCTGGCTAGGGACGCCGCCGGCATGGTGTTGTTGTTCATCCTCGTCTTCATCGGAGGTCGAGCCGCTGTCTTCGCTGGAGCTGGAGTCGTTGCCCTTGCTGATTTTAGTCTTCGAGGCGCGCCGCGCTTTGCTGGTGGTTGCGGATCGGAGCCCGTTCTCGCTGAGCGGGTTGGGAGGGTAGTGGAATACGAAGCGAGGGCCGGCTCGCGAGCGGACGATCAGGGCGATTGCCACTAGGCAGGGGTCTGGGGGGCGTGCGATTGAGGACATTGGAGGTGAGCAGGTAAGGACATGCTGGGGTTTGGTGTTTCGCGATGGAAGTGGAGGGGGGATGCGGAAACCGAAGGCTGGGGAGAGGTTTGGGGTTGGATTCCAGACGGCGGGACTGCTTTCCCCGCATGACTTGCGGTGTACATTCAGAAGCTCTACTTTCATTTATCGTATTTTCCACAGCAATGACTTGAGAACTTCCAGTTCATATACCATATACAGATGCACGTTCACTAATATACACATCTCTCACAAGATAAAATCAACACAGCCCCTCAACGCCAGAAATGGAGAGATAAAACAAGTCCCGATCTCACCGACCAGGTGATGAATCTGCTACTAATCACCCAAGGTATCACATCACGCATCTCATGCAATAAGTCTTCAGCTTCCATGCTTCCGTCAATCCTCACGATTTTGTCCCTGACCCGTCACTCGGCGTCGCCGCTGCGCTCGCCCCATTCCCGCCCTCCTGCTTGCCGAAGACAAGTCCGAGGTTCTTGAAATCATCCGGCGCCATCAGGTTCCTATCGAGTTATCGGGGTCATAATTAGCCTTCATTGCTCGCAAAATATTCCCCATAGCGCAAGACTCCGACTCGGTAGTCGGCGCGATCGGTTTTTCCAGGACCGGAAGAGCAAGAACATACTTGTCCATACGACAGGCCAGATACCCCTTGGCGAGCTTTCGACATTCCTCGTCATTGACGCCTCGGCTGCCTTTGAGACACTTCAGATAGCTGGAGATCAGGTGTTTGCATTCACCTGGTCGGAATCCCGTTAATTTCCGTGGATTCGAGGATGGTGATTATGGGAAGGGATAGTTGATACCTTCATGGTCGAGAGGGAAACTACCACGCTCCGGACTATAATTCCAGAAGTCAGCATCTCGTTCATTCCATTGTTTTGGGTGCTCGTCGATTAAAAAGTCCAGCGATATGGAGTATGCGATATGGCATGGCAAACAGGAGCATAGCAAGGCGGAGCAAACTCACGGCGTAGGTTTAGTAGGCACGGCGGCGCCACCAGGACTTCCGAATCCCATGGTAATTCGTATGTCGTCTTTCAAAATAACAGGGGAAATAGAAAGGGTAATCAATATCAGAGCAGCGCAAGAGACGAGAAATGGAGATTCGGGGAAAAGAACGGATCGACTCCCGGATAGACAAACAGAACAAACATGTCAAACAACCGGATGACCATCAATGCATTGCAGATTACACTTGCTCTTCAGCAAGCAGATTTATTAGTGCACCCTAGTATCTTGCATCTCTAGTTACTGTGCTTTGGGGTCTTTATGCAATGACGTGGACTAGCTACGACCATGCTTTGTCACAGTGCAGATGCGGAGTCGAACCAAAGGCTTCCAACCCCTCACTCGTATCTCCTCGTACAACATATATAAAAGGCACATATCTATTGTATCCGGAGTGTCCGGATCTGATATAAGAATGACGTCGCTGGTCTAGGATATCTGCAATTCTATATAGCATTTCCAGACAGCTTGAACGCGCCATTTCTGCAACATATTGTTAATTCCTGAACCCTATAACTATAAATTCAACCATACTTCCAAAATGCCCATGTACGCAACTACCTATAGTACACCCCATCCTACATCCCGAACCCCTCCACCAACTAACTCGGTATGTAACTACCAATAGGACCCTCGAAGGCAGCTGCCAGTGCGGCGCAGTCGAATTCACTCTCGACTCGAGCACCCCCGTCCCCTACCAGCTCTGCGCATGTAGTATCTGTCGCAAAGTGGGCGGATACAACGGCAGCGTGAACCTGGGTGGCATCAACGACAGTCTGAATATCAAGAAGGGAAAAGATGTTATCAAGTATGTCGCAACGCTTTACTGACACTCTCTCTATATACAATAATGTCTATTCTCCCGTACAAGCACCCCACATATACCATTCAACCTGCCCGCTATTCTAAATAACAAATGCAACAAGGATAGGCTAATCAATGCATGCACGACGCAGGAAATACTCCGCCATCATGAACCGCGGCACACCCGATCAGAAGGTATGCTCAAGCGAGCGGAACTTTTGCTCCAATTGCGGCACGATGCTCTGGTTATGGGATCGGCATTGGCCAGAGCTCATTCATCCGTTCGCCTCGGCCATCGATACGGATTTGCCGGCTCCAGACGAGATGGTGTGTATCATGCAGGGCTCGAAGCCGGATTGGGTTCGGTGGCCGGAAGGGAAGAAGCAGGTCTTTGAGGAATACCCGGAAGAGAGCCTGGAGGGATGGCATAAGAAGCATAAGCTGTTTATGAAGTAGGGGTTGAGTTGGGTGGCATTATGTGCATTGATGGACGGTGATGATTTGACGGTGATTACGAATGACCAAGGCTACAGTGGAAAGTATTGAACAAAAATATGCATCAGGTTTGACATTATCATTATGATTATATGTAATTGAAGTGCCCTGCGAGCGTACTTGTTAGCCTTAGCAACATTAAAAGTTCGCAGATACATTTGTTTGAAGCACAAATATCAGTTCTCCAAGGTGAAATTTAGTTTTTTCTTCAACGGTATTCAGTAAGAACACAGCGAATAAATTTGTTCATCATGAAGTGCAAAAGAGTAAAGAAATATAAGGCAACTCACACTTTAATGACACCAAGTCTTCTACAAAACGATGTTCCTACTTTAGAAGTCGACGAGTCAGCAAAAATCTCGAAGCATGCATGAGTGATCCAAGATTGAGTTGTGTCAACTGAAGTCAGGCTTTGAAAACGGTTAGCATATATTGCGACCAAATGATCAGGACAGTAACAACTCACCTCATTAAATCAGATTTTTGTTATGGTAATGTTCATTTCCACGCGGGATCAAACAGTGTGAATAAACTATTCATCATATAATGTTGACGAGATAGGTGTTGGGGTAGAACTGGGTATGTGGACAAGTATTACCTAGGGCAGGCCCGTTAGCATCTTGTCTGTCAAGAGATTGACAACCATGATAGATTGAATTCAAGACTCAGGTGACGAGTTCTCAACAATCAATGCACCGTCCTAACACCCGCAAGGTTTGTACGCCTTGCTTTTGATGGATGCAGGCAGATGCACACGTCTGTCCGCCCGTTCGTTCAAAATATCCTCATCGAGGGGGTGATAAGAGGCAACGAATAGTGGGAAGTTGTATTTACCTATTCAATCGCTTGTTAGCAGATGTCATACAAGACAAGTGAGTGAAGCAAATGAAAGGTTTCCAAAAGGAGTCAGACAAGGCTGAAACTTGAGTTTGTACACGAATTCCACATGGTGATTAAGTTTGAGGAATGCCTTAGCGTGTCATAGAGTCATCATCGAAGGTGTGAAGGGATGAAAGCGGAAGATCAGAAGCAGCAAAAAAAGTTCCAGCATACCTTTTACAATTGATACAGAAGTGGTCGCAGACAGCAGAGATCATCATTAAATCCTGTGTCCTAGAGGCATGACCCTCTTGGTGAATGTTGCAAGTTTCGGATGAGAAAGAACATTGCACAGTGCGTTGTCCAAATGGACGCAGCTGCAGTTGCAAGATGGTGCAAGTTGAGAAAAAAAAGTTTGTGGGTTGCGGCAGACTTTTATAGTACGAAGCTTAGGGCCACGGCTGGCGGAACCCACCAAAGGCGCTGTTTGTCTGGGAGACAAACACAGTCCCAAATGGGCCGTGCTCTTGGCCTCGAATTGTCCTTAAAATTGAGCAGCATTGTTAGTAGTTTCTGTATGAAACTCATAGCTCCCCCAACTACTGTAACCTCTATCTATTTTGTCTATATCCTTTGAATACCCTCTATGGAGCAAACATGGCGATGGTTTGATTTCCCTGGAGGAAGCTGGGAGTGGATTGATGAGATCAGGCAAAATCCACCATTCACCACTACGTAACGGTACCAACCATTGCTGGTTTTACTTGCTCAACGCAGTGGAGTCAATGATCTCCACGTGGTGGCCCATCGGTGAGCAGATGAAAGCAAAACAACCTGGTTGTCTGCAGCTCGACGCTGGATAGCTGAGACTCTGGTTCGCGCAAACGTCATACCCATAGCTAGGGGCCAGGCCTGGATGCGTCAAATTGACGTCGATTCAACTGAGTGAATCGACAGGATATAAATGAAACTCCTCTTCTCCGTAGTAGACCTATTCAGCCCCAGGAATAATTGAATTCTTTGTTAACTAATTCATATCCTACCAAGATGTCGACCACTTTCAAGCTTAACAACGGCGCAGAGATTCCTGCCGTCGGATTCGGAACCTGGCAGGACGCCGAAGAGCAGGAGCAGGCTGTGATCGAAGCTATCAAGGCAGGATACCGCCACATTGATACAGCTCGCATGTAAGGCTTCTTCCTCTTGCTGTCGGATAGCGCGTAGCATTGCTGACCATATCTTCAAACAATAGTTACGGCACCGAGAAGGCCGTGGGTGCTGCCATCAAGAAGAGCGAAGTGCCTCGCGATCAGCTTTTCATCACGACCAAGCTCTGGAACAACAAGCACCACCCGGACGATGTGCCCCAGGCCCTTCAGGACTCCCTCGACGATCTGCAGCTGGACTATGTCGACTTGTTTCTGATTCACTGGCCAGTGGCATTCAAGCGCGGCTCCGAGTCGTTCCCTAAAGATGCTAATGGAAAGCCTGCTGTTGTCGAAACCGACTACGTCGCGGTATGTTTCGATTGATTAGAAAAAAAGCTTTACCTTTGTCCAAGACAGTATACTAATCCTTGCTCCTTCCCTTTCTCTGCAGACATATAAGGCTCTCGAGAAACTGTTGCCCACTGGCAAGGTCAAGGCTATCGGTGTCTCAAACTTCTCCAAGGCCGAAATGGAGCATTTGCTGAAGAGTACCTCGGTCGTCCCTGCGGCGCACCAGCTGGAAAGCCACCCGTGGCTGCAGCAGCGGGAATTCGTCGACTGGCAAAAGTCCAAGGGCATCCATATCACTCACTACTCGCCATTCGGAAACCAGAACGCGCTCTACTCGGAGCATGGCACCATCGGCAAGCTCATCGAGGATCCGGTGTTGGTGGAGATCGGTAAGAAGTACAACAAGAGCGGAGCGCAGGTTGCTCTCGGTAAGTTATATTTACCTTAATTCGGTATGTATAGTGAGGCAACAAAGCTGACAATTTAAATAGCATGGGGTATCACCCAGGGTCATTCCGTGCTTCCCAAGTCCAAGACTCCCTCGCGCATCAAGGCGAACCTTGAGGGCGACTTCAAGTTGAGCGACGAGGATATGAAGAAGATCCAAGGCATCAATAAGAAGCTTCGATTCAACGACAGCAGCAAGGACTTTGGTCGAGACTTCTTTACTGACCTGGAGGGAAAGAACTAAAGAAGTGCCTTTATTGACGTCAGACCCATGCCGCTATGTATGATGATGTAACTAGTCAGTTTAATTATTCTAGTTAGCTCAAACGAGGAAACGAATGTTAATGCAAAGTACCCCGTACTCAAATATCAGCTGCACTTATTTAAACTTTTCCAGCAGAGACCCCAAGACCTTTAGATCGTGGCGCAGTCCAGGGAGCTCTCGTCAGCGTTGAGCCAAGATCGCTCGGCTGTTTTCTTCTGTACGCCGTCATTGTCTTTGTCCCTCCACCATGCCGGCAGGTTCCGCTTCGTTGTCATCCCTTGCCTGCGACCGTCTCGTCGACGCAGCTCGGTTTCGTGAGTTTGGTCAGTTTTGGATATACTAGAGACGTGTATAGTTCATAGAGTCTAGCATGGGTTCTTCCATGTTGGCAAATGCTCGCCAGGGCATTTCTAAGCGCCTCGTGCTGTCGTACATCATCGACTGGATCTTTATTATGTATGATACCCCTATTCTCTTCAGCTGGTTGGTTCAGAAGCTTCTTGATATTGATGTTCTTGCTGCAGTGGTATCGCACTTATTGGATACGGATTTTCTCGCGTCACTCCTAACCACCGCCCGTTTGCTTTGAATGATCAGAGCATCTCTTTTCCCTACACGGAGGACGAGACGGTCCGGACCAGTGTCCTGGTGGTGGTCTCGCTGATTGCTCCAGCTGTGATCATTTTTCTGGTAATCTTGCTCTTTGTCCCTGCCTCCGTCTCTCGGGATACAGGCTCTCGGCTACTGCTAGTGAAGTCTAAGATATGGGAGTGGAACGCCGCGTGGCTGGGCCTGGGCCTATCTGTCGCCGGGGTTTTTATGGCTACTCAGGGCCTGAAGGCCTTGTATGGCCGACCCCGTCCTGACATGCTTGCGCGTTGCAACCCAGACCTTTCCGACGTTGCCTCGTATGCTGTCAGTGGTCTGGGCCAGAGGGTTAGCGAGGCGCCTACGTTGGTGACATGGGAGATATGTCGGGATAAGTCTGATGATCTGAAAGTGGATGGATTCTCTAGCTTTCCCAGTGGCCATTCATCCAGTAAGTTTAAAAGCTCTTGTAGCCGTTGGAATACCCAGCACCGAAGCGAAATACTAATGACGCTGTTTCCAGTCGCATTCGCGGGTTTGGGATATTTTAGCCTCTGGTTATGTTCCAAATTCGCTATTGGGTTCCCGTATCTGGCCCATTCGCCCCTAAGTCAGGAGCTGCGGGTACAGAATCGAGAATCAATTCGCACCCAAGGGGCGGCCCCGCCGGTGTACATGGTCATTGTCGCGTTTGTTCCAATTGCCGTCGCTTTCTTCATAGCCGCATCGCGCTGGTTCGACTTCCGACACCATGCGTTTGATATCATAATCGGGACCCTCATGGGAGTGGTTTTCGCTTGGGTTGGGTTCCGACTGTACCATCTTCCCATCATGCGCGGCGGAGGCTGGTCATGGGGAGCAAGAAGTCCACGACACGCGTTTGTTAAAGGGATTGGACTTTCTAGCCACGTTGGTGCCGACAATTGGTCAAACACTGGGGAAGTTCCTGTGACAACAGATACCGAAAGGCACGAGGACATGGTGGACCTCGAAAGTGGGAGACGTAACTTGGCGGAATGAGCCTGACATCCTTCGACAAGGGTGATGGAGACGAGACAAGGACATCGCCGGCGTTGAATCTTCCCGGGTGCGATATGTAATATGTGTAATCAGCCTTTGCAGTATAATAGTTGTTTTTGGACTCATGTTAGTAATTCTTGATCTCCCATCTTTCTAGTTGAAGGCCACGCAAACGTGCCACCAACGTTCACCTCCAACCACCCACTCTCCCCTCATCCCATCTAGCTTTGGCTTCCCTTCTAGCGGCTAATTTGGAACTCTCGGCCCTCACTCGGCGGATCCAATCGGCAACTTCTTTCTCGGTAGCTCGCCCGTGATGCTCCTCCTCGAGAAAGCTCTCCTCCACCGCCTGGCACACAGCTTCCTGCTCGGCAATCGACGCCGCCAGCCGCTGATATAATGCCTTGGGCGACCACGGAGCCAATGCGGTATCCAGCTCCGATTGTTTCTTGCGCCAGGAAACCTCCAGGGACTGATGCGTCAAGAGAAGCGTTTCGGTCGAGCCGCGCAGCTCTGTGAGATGGGCCTGAAGCTCCAGGAGACGATTGGCTAGGTCTTCGTTGTATTTGAGTCGCGATTGGAGGTTCTCCTGATGAGCGGAGTAGGAGGGGTGCTGGCTAGCGAGGGCAGAGAGGAGATTCGGGTCTTTGAGAATGGTCTGGAGGTCCACGGTCCTGAATACATTTCCGGTTAGATGAAATCACTTCTCTTCTCCGAGAGGGGGGACGTCATACGTTTTGTCCTTGACGGCGTCAGGCAACCACCCCTCCTCGGCAGTCGGGGCCTGGGGAAGAGGATTGGCATGGGCCATGCCGGAAGATGTTTGTTGATGAAGCCCCTGCGAGCCCATCCCGTTCAAAGCGTACCGAGGGTCCTGGTAGTGTGGTGTAGATGGGTTGATCTGCGGTGTACCCCTTCGACTAGCCTCGTGGCTGCCGGGCTTGGGAGGGGGAGGGGGAGGGGGAGGGGTGTCGGGATTGAGGGCTGGATTCATAGCGGAAGGGTGGAAGGCTGCCGGATGCATTTGCACCAATCCAAAGGGAAGATGAAGGGGAAATCGTCTGGGGATGACGCCGGACGCGAGCCAATGGAGACGGGAGAACCTCAGGCAGCAACGGAGAGGATGCGGGGAAGGTCACGTGCTACATGTGGTGCAGTAGAGCGAAGTATTCAGGACTCGGGACTCAGTAGATATAGATATGTATGTGCATCACATGCATATGTAGGTACTTTGATAGCAAAGGGATATCCGCCAGATCATGTTGTGGCCCAGATCTAATCAACTCATTACTTTTGATATCTTCATTATGTCATAATTAGCCCACTAACTATCTGCTCGTAGCCTTGTAGATACCCCAATTCCATGGCCTGAAGCCATGTGCATAGCGGCCTCTGGCTTGGAGAGATCCCCTCTATGTTTTTCTTCAGGACAGGGCCTATATTTCAAGAGTTCTATCCGTTTCTCAGCATCCTGGACACAATCATGCCTTGGCCAAGTCTAGCTAAGTTGTAGACATCCTGCAATTAGCGGACATCTACGGCCTGATCATCGCGAGGACGACACGACTGGAGAGTCAAGTGCCCTTGAACCACCCCCAATATAAGATCTTCTATTTTCCAATACATCCAAGGCTCTCTCTCTAATCCACTCGACGCCGCACTTCCCGATCCCGCGTATCGATATTCCCCCGTAGAGCGTCCTGGACTAAATCTCGCAATTCACTTTGCGTCGCCTCGCTGTGGAAGTCCTCGCGCGCCGCCAGCTCATCGATCCGGCGCTTGAATTCGGGATCCACCTGATCGGCACCCTCGTTGACTTCCTGCTCCGACACCGTCCCCATGTTCACCTGGATATTCGGCGGCAGGGGCGGGGCGGGGTTCAGCACACCCGCCGGCTGCTCCGAGGGTATCGGGAGACCCATCACCTGTCGAAGATATGTGGCGACCTCCGGGAAAGCGTCTTCTGTTTCGATGTTGTCCAGCGCCGTGAATCCCTCGTAGTTCTTCCGGTTGTAGTCCACCCGCAGCTCCTCGACGAGACATTTGGCGATGTCGACGGTCTCCGTCACGAATAGGCAGGTCTCGCCGTCCTCGTCGAGCAGGTTCATGTCCACCTTGTAGTCGTTCACTAGGGCGCGGAGCAGATCGATATGTCCGTACGACGTGGCGGCGTGAAGAAGCGAGTATCCGTGCTCATCTTGACTACTTGCGATGGAGGGGTTGGATTGTAGGAGATTGAGAAGCCCGGCGGGGTTTTCGGCGGCCAGAATGTAAGGGTTGGGTTGAGTCATTGCGGTGGAGAGTCCCTTCAGGGATGAGTCAAATGTCTTGAATTGTATCACAAAGAATCCGGGAGTGGCAGTCGATGATGGAATATTCCGTTTGTTGGGTTGGAAGAAAGAAGGGGACGAAGTGGCGCAGGCGGAACGATGAGAAGAAAGAAAGAAAAGAAAAGGATCGGCGTGAATTTCTGCCCCGCAAAGCAACCACCGCGGATAAGCTTGAGTCACACAAGGCTCCAGAGTCCAGACATTTTCCGGTTGAATTTATTTTGGTAAAAATAGCTTCTCGCTCCTGGAATATTGGGCAGGAGTGGATGCTCTGATTATTTATACCCAAATCCTTTTCTCGTTACCAATTCCCCTTCGTTCACCATTTCGCGAACACTCCCTTCCTTCGTTCGGCTCTTTCTCCCGTCGACCCTGGCGATCCCACCTCGAGCTTCAGCAGTTCCTGTCAATCTTGCGTATCTCAAAGGAATCGAGCCACCAATAAGAACCAGTTGCACAATGGTGCAGCAAGACGTTAGGGAGGTTGTTCGACTCGTCGGCAGCCTGGAGACAGCAAGCCAGAGGACCAAGCGCGATGGGAAGAAGGCGTTCATTTGCAAGAAAACCACTTTCCCGGTCGCTGGGTCCGATAACATCGCCGTGGACTCCTGGAGGTTTATGGACTGGGACTACAAACGATCCGACCTTCCGACATACGCCCGTGGATTGTTCACAACCAAGAGGAAGGATGGTACCCCCGAGATCGCGGTTCGCGGCTACGATAAGTTCTTCAACGTCGACGAGGTGAACGAGACCAAGTGGAGGAACATTGAAAACCAGACCCGGGGTCCTTATGAGCTCAGCGTGAAGGAAAACGGATGCATCATCTTTATCGCGGGCCTGGAGGACGACTCGTTGTTGGTGTGCAGCAAACATTCGACCGGAGGACGGCCGGATACCGAAGTGAGCCATGCGCAGGCCGGTGAGCGATGGGTTGAGAAGCACGTCAGCTCGGTAGGCAAGTCCGTTAAAGAGCTGGCCCGAGAGCTGCGCCGGATGAATGCCACCGCGGTAGGCGAGCTGTGCGACGACAGCTTCGAAGAGCACGTTTTGGCCTATGATCAGGTTGCGTCGGGAATATATATTCACGGTCTCAACTTCAACGTTCCACAGTTCGCGACATGCTCGAGCACTGAAGTCCATGAGTTTGCCGATAAGTGGGGGTTCAAGAAGGCCAAATTCATGGTCTACGACGATATCGACACGGTAAAGAAGTTCCTCGATCAGTGCGCGGAGACGGGAACCTGGGATGGCCGAGAGACCGAAGGGTTCGTGATTCGATGTCAGAGGAACGAAGCAAGCACAGCGCCCCTGGAGGACTGGTTCTTCAAGTACAAATTCGAGGAGCCGTACCTGATGTACCGGCAGTGGCGTGAATGCACCAAGGCGGTCATCTCCGGGAAGGTGCCCAACATCAGGAAGCACAAGAAGATCACCGAGGAGTACCTGCAGTACGCCCGGCGGCAGTTCGTCAAAAACCCCAAATTAACAACCCTTTACCAGCACAACCACGGAATCATCTCTCTGCGAGAAGGCTTCCTCCAAGAGCGCGGGCTCAAGGGCTCGGATATCATTGCCATGGAGAACGAGGGCCCCACCGAGGTGACCAACAATGTCATCCTGGCCCCCATCGCCTCGCTCGGGTGTGGAAAGACAACCGTGGCGGTTGCCTTGGTCAAGCTGTTCAACTGGGGCCATGTGCAGAACGACAACATCCCCAAGCAGAAGAACAAGCCAAAAAAGTTCGCCCTCGACATCACCAACCTTCTTGCCGCGCACCCCGTCGTCATCGCAGACCGCAACAACCACATGCGACGCGAACGGCAGCAGCTCATAGATGATCTCCTTCCGGTGGTCCCCGACGCTCGCTTCGTCGCGCTTCAGTATGTTCACGCGCCCAAGGACCAGCTTCTCCCTGGGATTCGCGAGGTGACGCGCCGGCGGGTCCTGGACCGCGGAGACAACCACCAGACCATCCGCGCCGGCACCCAGAACTCCGAGGATGTCATCGGCATCATGGAGGGATTCTTGAAACGCTTCGAGGCCATCGACACCGACCGCGAACCGGACAAGAGCTTCGACGCCACTATCGACCTGGACGTGGCCGCCTCGTCCCGTGAGAACCTCGAGAAGGTGGTCACCTCCTTGCATTCCCTCTACCCCCATCTCATCAAGCAGGTGCCCACTCCCCAGGAACTGGACGCCGCCATCCACAGCGCCATGGCCGAGTACGAAGTCCAGCTGGACCTCAGCCATCAGTACGGCAACAAGGGGCCCAAGCAGAAGAACAACAACGGCAACAACCAGAAACCCAACCCCAGCGCTGCCTCCACTCCACCTCCTCCCCCCAACCCGCAAACGCTCGCAAAGAACATCGAATACTTCGGCATCACCCTCCCCGCCGCCGACATCACCCACACCCTGCAATCCCTCTTCCCCGCGTCCACCACCAGCCCCGACAAGGCCCGCATCTACAACCACCTCCTGCATTCCCGCCGCATCCAGCCCGCCTTCCACGTCACCCTCATACACCGCGCCTCGAAAAAAGACCGCCCGGACCTCTGGGACGTCTACACCCGTCGCTACCTCGACAAGATGGCCTCGAAACCGGAGTCCGACCCCACTGTCACTCCCGCCCTGGCTCCCGTCCGCGTCCGCCTCGAGCGTCTCATCTGGGACGACCGCCTCATGGCCTTCGTCGCCCGGATCCTGCCCTCCTCTGCTACCGATGCCGACGACCAACAGAATCCCGAGTGGTCGTGCGCCAACCCCATCCCGCACGTCACGGTCGGCACCGTGTCGCCCGCTATCAAACCGAAGGAGAGCAACGATCTGCTGCAGCGTTGGCTGAAGGTCGGGTCCGGTCCTGGGACGGGGATCTGGGAGGCTGAGATTCCCGGCGTGAAGGTCGTTTCGGGACAGGTCAGTGTGGTGATGAGTCGGAGGTGATCTTCTTTCGCTTCATACGTTCAGATATGGAGGGATGAGAAACAATATTTGATGTTATTATAAGCATCATTTTTATTCCATCTATACCTATAGATATCTAGCTGGATAGATGTATGGACCGGATAGGATGGGATAGAACAGGACTCGGTTTCACGATTATTTATGATTAGGTTTAGGTTTAGGATGGGTTTTAGACAAGATCAAAAGCAAGAAAAAGAGGACGAATCGAAAGATATTTACGTTATGAGCATTTACAGGACTGATTTATCTTCTTTTCGGGTGTACTTCTTCGACCACATATACACAGTACCGGATATCATACACGTACTCAAAAAAAGACAACTAGGTCAAGGATCATCTATTAAATTGTACATAGAATAAAGAAGGGAACGCTACGATCATCTAACCATCTATCTACCTAGATATGCTCAACGACAGCGCAACGTTACATCCCAAGTCAAGTCGTATTATTAGTTGGTTATCCAAGAGGAAACGCGCTGAGCACCGAACCGGCCCATGAACTGCAAGCCGGTGCTGCCCATGGGGAAGTAGCTGACGAGGTACCAGAGGAGGGCGGCCAGCTGGAAGATGGACGAGATGAGCGTGAGTAAGGTCGAATGAAGCTGGAAACAGAACAGGTTAGCTTTCATTCCTGGTGTCATAGTCATCTGGAGGTGTATTCGCATGGGATGGGAGGATAAGCAAAGGATGCGGCTCCCTCGAGTCGCGGGAAAATTTCGTCTGCACCCGAAGGAGAATAGGTCACGCCTGGCATGTGCATGAATGATGTCATAACAGACAGGAGCCTTTTGCGCATATGCATCAAGCGGAGAGGGGGGGGGGGGGGGGAGGGGGAGGAATGCAAGATCGTGTCTTATCGCGATTCTCAACACGACCGCACGGGGAGCCCGCGAGGCGGAAGGCGGCAGAAGCGCGAATCTTGAGAAGCGTCCGGAACAGGGGACGGATGGGACAGCCACCAAATCAACGAGAAAGAAAAGAAAAAACAGAAAAAAATAGGGAGGAAAGAAAAACCAAAAAGAAAAAAGAGAACAGAAGAAAAAAGAGTGGGGACTAGATTCAACAGGCAACAACTTACTCCGATGGCAAAGTAGAGAGTCATGGCAATCGAACCAAAATAGGCGGCCGTAAAGGGTAGCCGTGATCCCGAGACCAGATGCTTAGCGTAGACCAGGGGTCCCATGAGAACCGCCCATGATAGCAGGAAGAGAAGAGAGCCGACGGACCATCTAGATTGAACCGCCCCAAACCGGTTGGTGTCAGCGTTTTGGCAGGGCAGAGAAGTAGGGTGATTCGATCTTGGCAAGGAGCAGCACGGACGTCTATGCGGGCAAGATCGACCGGGCGTGGTACAGCCACAGGCCACAGGCATGACAAGCCCTACACCGCATCGTGCCAGGGCCGGTGTGAAGAATGCAGTGGGAGGAGAGAGGACGACGAAGCCACTTACAAAATCGCAAACTTGCGGGGTTTGAGCGACAGCACCGGAAACAGGAAAAAACAAATCATGAAGCAGACCGCCGCTCCAAGGTTGCATGCCGCAAAGACGAGCATGCGATCCCACCGACTCACTGGAGAAACATCAGATGGTTAGCCAGGCATGATTCGATTTCGATTTCCCTCTCACTTCGTCCATGCCTTTCTTTTCCCTTCCTTTTTTTTTGCACCCTGGGGGTGGGTAGGAGAGACGAAAATCAAGGCACGGTCCAACTAGATACGCTCGTCCCCACGGCTTCCGTGAAACCCAGCCAGACGCAGGAACTGAACGGTTGTCACCTGGACCAGGCAGTGCAGCAAATCAGGGAAAAGACAAGAGCTGGTCGGAGCCATCGGTCATGGGCTCGGGGAAATCTTACGGGCAAAGAAAGTGTCCTCCTCTTCCCGTCGATTTGCAGCCGGTAGGGGAGCTCCCGGAGCTTCGTGAGTGGGCAGTTGCACATAGCCCTCCCCTCCAAACGGATTCCATGACTGTAACCGTGATAGGAAAGGAGTCGACGCCGACGAGTTATTGGTGCGCACCGGTAGATCGGGGTCTCGTCGCGCCCAGCCTAAGGAGTTGACCGAGTCGCGGAACGAATTAGAGGTCATGGTTGTGATCTGCTTCCTTTGGGACCCCCCTGTAGTGTCTGATATGCGTGCCGAAGAAGGCGAATTTGTTGGAAAAGGGAGGGGGGTGGAGTGAGAAAGAGGGGGGGAGGGTGTGGGTAAGGGGAAGAAGACGAGAGGCTTTTTGGCTGCAAGAAAGCAAGACCGGACCAGCGTTAGTGTCAACGGCAGGCAGACCAGTGAGAACGCAACGCTAGAATGTCAAGCTGAGGAACCCTCTGCAGGGACTATGCACGGCGGAAACCAGTATGTACGTGCAGATGATCTGCAGATATCAATCAGCCAGTGTGGACGAGAAGGTGTCTGGCGTAACCAGCGGTCGGCGGGCCAGATGACTGTTGCGCAACCGGACTAAAACACCCGAGAGGAGCTTGGGCACGGGGCAACTTCGAGCACCCGCTAGCAAGTCGTGCTTTTCTTGGACGCTCGTCAACCCGATAAGCTTGTGATTGATTCCCTTTGGCGATCGTGTAAATTAACTCGCGGTCGAATTCTAATTTTCTTTGATGGATTTTATTCCGAGAGGGAGGGAGGGGGATGTCCGAGTTCGGTAGAGCGGTTGGTCAGTCGGCGGCAGGAATGACGATATACAACCAATCCAGCACGGGGAATGTGAGCGCGACTAAGGTAATGTATCGAAGGTGTAATAGACGGATCGATAAGGGCTACTAGCACGATAGCCTGGTGGAGAAGGCTTGCGGAGAATAGGAAGGTGAGGAGGGAGGGAGGGAGGGGGAGACTGCTGCAAGATGATGGTAGAGTCAAAATCGGACGGCGTAACCTAAGGCTCTAGCACCAAACCAACGCACGATAGAGATCGCTTCTAGACAGGCGGCAGCATTAGCCATCGTCATCTGACTTTGGAAAGGGAGGGGGAGGGGTGTGTGTGGGAGGGTTGAGCAGGTGGTTTACAAAAATAAAACCAAATCATAATCATAAAAACAAGAACAGTGCCGGGGTTGGAAAGACCAGGGGGGGAGGGTTACATACCACGAGAGTTGGAACCGAACTCGACTGTGTCAGTACTCCGTCGTCGTAATAGTAATAACAGCGATCGAAGAAGCTATTCTGGTGGTAGCCTTCGGCCGGTGTCTCTGAACAGGCTGGAGGGAAGAGACGCGAGAGGAATGGAGGTTCCAAGTCGAGCTTGGGTGGGTTGGCTGAGCCACCAATCGAAGCCGGGCGCAACGGTGACGGGGCCAGGTGACGGCACTAAGCCTGATCCGCACTAGTGATCCCACCCTCTGCCGACTATCCACCAATGAGCGACTGAGGATGTACCGCAGGGGACGGCACCGATGCAATTGATTGGCCACCCATCCTGGTCCGTGCCCTCCCCGCTTGAGGCGATTGGAGCGATTCCGCCACCGCCCATGGGGTTTAATCATTTAGCGCCGTTCCCGCTGACCATCGACATTCATTCATTATTATTATTTCATCCTTCCATTGTTCCCTTCTTAGTTCCTCTGCCTGGTTACCTATGAGCGACCGAACCACACCTACATCACTCGCGTTAGGGCGAGTTCTACGGTAGATCGACGGAGCAGTACTCAGTACGAATCAGCCAACCCTACCCCAACGAGCATAGTCGCTCTCTGGTATGACTCCTCGCCGACTCACTACTAGCCCGTATTCAGTCGCCAATACAGATAGTCAGTATCGGGAGACCCGACAATCTCCAAGAGGGTACGCTGCTTGGGCCAGTGACGATCGCAAATCCCCCATCAACCCCCTGCTTGGTCTCCTTCTTAGCCCAGTCGATCGTTGCTAGAGCAGCCGTTGAGTGCAGAAGTCTACTTGAACTCCATGTACGGGTACTACGCGGTCTAATCGGAAAGTATAACGAGCCCGGGCGGAGAAAGTCTGATCAGAGACACATTACGTAGCTGGGCACTTGCGTTTTTTCCCCCCATCGATCGGGCAGATCATCCGAACGGCGGGTTAAACCATCCAAGGTAAATGACTGGTTTGCAGCGCTCGATGACATCTTAAGCAGAACCCGCGTTGAGCTCGGTGCGGTCACAGACACTGTCACAGACATCAGCATCATGGTTTCTAATTCAGATGTCCTGCTCTGGGGTATTAGGAGAGGAAGAAAAGAAAGAAAAAAAGAAATCATACTAAGTAAAATAGAATAACATCAAAAATCACATAAAACCAAGGAAAATAAAAAAGGGAAAACGGGTAATAACCCTATCTTATATCCGAGACCACTCACAAGGTTTCCCATGTTACATTGCCTATCACAAGCGGATATGATATCCACCTTCTCCCATGGAGAGACACGGGCTCGCTATCTACAGGGTGTCATATTAGCCCGGACGCTTACGAAGAATAACCGAAGGCAACCCAAGAATAAAAGGATTCGCATCCTGTAACTTACCGGGGGCAGTTCCTGAAACGCCAACTTCGCATCTGCACGGCCATGGCAGAATGGCCATAATTAACAGGTTAACAGGCGTCCCGGGGTGCGTCTCCTTGCAGTCAACCGTGGATATCGCGGCCATGCACTCCGAACCTTGACGGGACGGGACGACCACGGGAGCCAAAAAACCGCCTCCCTCAGAGTGAAGCAGCACGAGTCACCCCCGTTCGCGTCCGGATGAAGCACCATCCGATTGTCAACCAGACTGCAGACATGCAGGAAGCGTAGTTGATGGGGTTTGTCGGTATGTGCCGTGCCTTGGTCCCACCCCACACCGCATCTTCTGCTGCCATCATGCTTGACACTTGCGCTGAAGGGAAACCATGCCAGTACCGACATACCTGTAGGTATGTACGTATGCACGAAGTACATATACATGGTACGTTCCATACAATCTACCCACACCCACCCACATCGGTGGGTGACTACTGAGTATGTCTCTAGGAGGAGAGGAAACATCATATCGGCTTGGCATACCTGACCTATCCTGCAGTGTACTTGCGCCGTAGCAGGTTTTAGCCGGGGAAGAGATGGCAGTAGATTGGAATGGGGGCGCTGATTGGGTTAGCATATTTTGACAGCATTCCTATCTCCAAGGTCAAGTCTTCACGGAGGAGCTGAAGCCGAGCTAAGAGATGGCACCCACATTCCTAGATCCGCAGTATTCCAAATCACGGATGACCAAACGAGCAGGAAGAATGACTGATAGAAGGAATCTTACTCGAGCGGACAGCGACCAGAGCTACTCCGTACTGTAATGTGTAAAGGGAATTAATGAATTAATTAAATGGTCGGACCGGAATAGGCAGTCCACTAGGGAATCATGATGACTAGTTCCATTATCTCTCCATAATCCTCTCATCGATTTCCCTCCTCTCTGCGCAAGGGAAAACGCCTCGAACTGAAAAAGGTGACCCCTCCGGCCTATCACACATCCCCGCAGAAACGCACCACGCACTTCGTCTCGGGAGGCGACAGGATCTCTAGCCTGCACCGTGTCACGGACCGCCTTTTGAGTGTCAGCGTCGAAGAACGCTCGGACGGCCGTGGGGATCCGGGGGTTTGGACTCATCAGCGGCGTCGCCTTGTGGGAGAAGGCAGCTCTGATACTGCGGCGGTGCGGCTACTGCAGAAAATCCCAGCCTCGCAGATCTAGTAAATCAGGATCCTACTCTTCCCGAGACTGAGTAATAATAGACTGCGATTATAGCATAAGCGGTAGTCCCGTCGTCATCAAGGGTCGTGTCCACCGGTCATCCAACACGCTGCGACTCAAGAATCCAACATTACTACTACCGCCTAGCTGCACACCTATCTTGCGCGTCTCGCTTTCGTTTTCTTTTTCTTTTTCTCTTCCTTTCCCTCCCGGTTGAATCGGTTTCTTGGTTTGTCGATCTTCTTAGCGTCCTCCCCTCGTCCGTGAGGATTGATTATCCCTCGATAACCAGGTATGGGGGAGACCCGACATCCTTGGACAGAGCTGCACCAGGCTTGCAGAAAGGAGATCGTTTCCCCCATCCATCCCTTCCACATGGTGTCCCACGATCATCCATACATTCCAGCAGTACCCGCCATTAGGGTCGTATTGTCGGCAAGACATTACGAGAGGGTAAAATCAGGGCTGCCTTTTGATTGATTTCCCTATTTACTGAGTATTTTAATCGAAGGAGGGAGGGAGGATTTCTTTTTTTAACCCAGAAACCATAAATCATACCCCATTAATTGATGCATTTCCCACTGCAATGATGTCATCCCTCCCCCTGTCCCCTACTAGTAATATTGTTATCGGTATCATTTTTCTGGCTATTTTTATTAAATTGCGACGCTAATTTGGCCTCACGCTTCGGGGTCATCATCCCCCTCTTGGTATGTTTGGGGTTTGCCCGAACGGGGCATCTGATACATTCTACTCAGCGTCAGTTCTCAAGTCCGTCCGACTAATGTCACCCAGAATTCCTGCTAATCTTCCTCAACTAAAACCTACTAAATTTATCCGCTAAAAATCGATTTTTCTCTTTTCTCTCTCTTCCAAACCATCCAGCCTAGCCTGACCGCGGTGAGTCATGGCGGACAGTGAGGAACAGGTGACAAAGCTGTAGTACCTGGCTGCTCATGGGATGATAGTGGATGCTTGATTCCCCCCCACCGGACTGTACAACCCTCCTTGAGGAACAAGAAGTTGGCTACACCATCTTGCTTTTGCCCACACCCCCCTTTCTTCAATGAATCTGGGCGTTGACACCCTCCATCTTCAGCGTAGTTTAGTTCGCCGGTGTTCAGTGGAGTCGTCGGGCCCCCCCTCACGCACCTTCCCCTCCCTTTCGCCAATGATGTTTTTTGGTTTTTTATTTTTTGATTATTATCATTGTCATTTTTTGTATTTTTTGTATTTTCTTTTTTTCTTTTTCCTTTTTCATTCTAAACAATAAAAATAAATTCAATCAATTTACGATTCCCGATTCCCCCGTTGAAGAAGGAAGAGCGACGCACGTAATTCCCGTCGCGAGTTTATCAAGCCTCGTCGATTTGAGGATCGACAGCCTGCATGACCATCGCTGTGATATATCAAATGAGAGCCGATGGAGAACGCCTCGAGTGCCCTTTAAAGCCTCCATTCCCTCGCTCGTTCGACCTCCCGACCTTTCTCTGGATTCTCATTTGATTCCAATTCTCTGTCTCGCTTCAGCTCTGCCGCCATCGCGCTTGGACGAAGTTGGTTTATCGTACTGCAACCATCCACGCAACTTTTGGTTATTTCTTTTGCTCCTACCCCCTCATGGGCTCCAGCCAGACAAGGTTCCTGGTGATAAAGAAAGGATAACCTGACCCGACTCTTCTGCTCGTACTCACTTACCGCTTGAGCTCGAGCCTCTTGGTCTTTGCGACTCTCGGAATCCAGCAGGGTGCATGTAAGTTCGCAACCGAACCATTTCCTTGCTTTTTCCCTCGTTTCTGCTCGTTTCTTCTTCTCCCTGATCGCTTCTCCCCTTCTCCCCTGTTTCCGGTCTCTCCGTGGTGGCTGTTTTCCTATATATACTTCGGTCCCCACCGCGATGACCAGGTAGCCGATCTGACTGATCTGTTCTCTTCAGGAACACAGTTCAATCGCCCAACTAGCTGGATCATCTATCCATATCTCAAGCGGCAAGTGAACATTTATTCTCTTCTTTTCTTTTTCTGTCTCGCGTTTCTTTCCTTGTTCCATTCAAATCTTGCGCTTTTCACCCACCTGCACACTGCGCGCATAAGAACCCTCACCGCGAGAGACTGGCGGGCCTGTGTTCTTCTTCGTGCTTTCTTTTTTCTCAACTCCGATTATTCTCCGGGTTCACCGCAAACCAAATTGACTGCGGGCTTCATCCCCGAACCCTGCATACTGCCTGCTTGACTGAGCGGGGAGAATGGAAGGCGACACGGATGGCAACTCCTTGAGGAACGCGTTGCGGGGCTGCTTATTCGACGGGCAAAGTGGCCCAGACATGCCCGAAAAGGCTGAGCCGCCGCGGGGCAACGATTTGGATCCCAGACTGTCTCACAGACTCACAGACCCCGAGGCGGGGAGAACTCAGTTCCTGGTTGGACCGAGGCGGAGCGCCGGAATCCGGGCGAGGCAAGAAAGAGAATGAGACAGAGACAGAGAAAGAGAGAGAACCCAACGACAGGGGAAAACCCAGGCGCAGTCCAATGAAGTGAGCAGGCAACCGAAGAAAAAGCAATCTGCAGTTCCTGGCTGGTTGGTGCCTGGTCATCGCCATCGGTCGAGGATACTTTGCGGATAAGTCCGTAATGCCGCGCTCCACCGCCCTGGCTGCTCGGGGCTCACCGCCCCTCTTTTTCTTTGACTCTCCTTCTTCTCTCTCTGCTTTGGCGCCAAAAAACCCCACCGGCCCTGCTTGCTCCAATAATCAATCAATTGCTCCATCCGTGATCGCTTCCTCTTTCTCCATCTCTCCACACCAGCTATTCTCCCTCCCTTTCCCCCCTCTTCTTGTGCTACCCATATACCTACAAAGACTGTGTGAAAGAGTCGGCCGACATCTTGTTCTCCCCCCCTCCCAGAAGTACTGTGAGAGCCAGATCCGGGCAGAACTCCAGCTTCGGGACTTTGTCCGACTCGGCCGGTCCTTCTCCCTCTCCCTCTCTCTTCCCTCGTCTTATCGCACTGTTCCAGCCCGTCAGTCTCCGCGGACCCATCGTGCCGGCCTTTGGACTCTGGATTTCCTTCTGGTTGTCTCGCTTATGGCCGCGATCCCCTAATTTGTCCTGAATTTGTCCTGCTTTTTGCGTCTGGATTGACTTTGTTACCCCATATTCCTGGTCGCTCACGGTAGAATTTTCCAGACTTGTCCCCTATTTCCATCTTTGTGCGATCGACGCCACCCGGCGCTGCCGCCTATTGGACTTAGAATTCCACCCACGATACTGGCATTTGCCGACCTGTCCGCTTTCGACTCATACTTTTTTCCCCCTTCTTCTTTTTAAACCACCCTCATCCGTCTGCCTAAGCCTTGCCATTCGTTTTTGGCATCAACGAACCCCCTCGCATCCGCCTCGAGTCATCTCATTCTTACAACCAATTGCATTCCATCATCACCATCAAGGGGGAGGTGTGTTTCTACCGCCCGGTTCCCCCATCTTCTCCTGGTGAGTGTCTCAGTTCGCCCCTCCTCACATTTTTGGCATCCTCGACGGGACCTTGTTGGCATCCATTCCCGTTGAATGGAGAAGAATAGCTATATTAACTAGATCCGCCTTCTTCAGGACTTTAGACGCAACTCTTTTTCTTCTTGCCCGCTTTTGATGCCTTGGCTCGGTGACTCAGTCTCACTTGCTAGTTCTTAGCATCTTTCCCTCATCGAATCCTATTATCGTTACCTCGACTTGAAGTGACTCGAATATACCATTTGCGACGCTTGGTGTTGCACTGAATTTGGAACGAACTCGCTAGTTGGATCGGATTTCACCGATCCTTTTTTTTTTGGTCTCTTTTCGTGCTCTCGCCCGTGAGTTTTGGATCTCCGACTGTAAGGGGTTCCCTGTGGAAACGTCGTCTCGGCCTTGTGTCCGGGATTTGTACATGCTCGCTCCACTATGACCGAAACGAGCATATTCATAAAGAGTGACCCTGACGAGCACAACAGTGACCATTTCATGATGTCGCATTCCGGCTACATGTCCAATCAATTTGGCAACACCGACGGTGTTGACCCCTCAGAACTTACCATGCAGAATGGTGGATTCATGTCTTACCCATTTGGCTCTCAACAGAACATGTCCTCGAGCTTCAACTTCGGGAACTCTGGCATTGACACCGATGAATTACTGGACTTGGAAATCAACGGCCACAACGGGATTCAGCGCCCCGATAGCATGAACTTCCTCCAGGATCAGACCCACTCCAGTGCCGGGATTTCCATGAGCCACCCCGGCCAGATGTCGCAGATGTATTCCAATACCCCGGAAGGAGCTCCCATGAATAGCCCCTTCATGCATAACAGTTTTAACTATGACCAATTCCGGCCCATGAACCAACAGGGACAGCAGCCTACTCCCCACATGCAGAGTGCTGGCTCCCACTTCGAGCAAAGCTACCTGAATGGCAAGACACGACCCAGCCTCCAGACCGTGGATCGCTCCGCGGATGGCCGCATCCCTATGACCCCCAAGACCCCGGCCCTGGGCGCTTTGACTCTTGGTACCCCCGAATCCGGGAGCTTCCCCACCCAGCCCATTCGCACAGGACTTCAGCACCGCCATCAGAAGACCCTCTCCAACCAGTGGGATGGGACGCCTGGAAGCGCCCATTCGTATGTAGAATCTCCTATCTCGTCCCCCAGTCATCCTCACCACGCCGGGATCTCCGAGATCCTCAAATCGGGCAAACATGCTTCCTTGCCGGCCAAGGTTGACGGTCACATGCCCGGTAGCACGCAGGATCTGGAATCGCAGGAAGCCAAGCGACGTCGCCGCAGGGCCTCTCATAACCTAGTTGAGCGCCGCCGGCGGGACAACATCAACGAGCGGATTCAGGATCTCTCGCACTTGGTCCCTCAGCACCGACTGGAGGATGAC